AAATTGAGAAATATCAATATATTTTATCATAAAACTTTCACTTTCATAGACATTCACTTTCATATTATGAAGCCAGGACGTCCCAATAAACGTCCGCTTAACATTTGAGACACTGAGATATATCAAATATTTTATTATGATAATACAGGTTTACAATTCCAAATACAAGTGTTTGGAAATTTGGGACACTTTATACTTAAGCCTACTCTCGGCCTTTATTGCCTTTGTACTTGGGCTTTCCAGTTTTTTCATCCACTCTTACATTTAATCAGTGATTTAGACTTTCCAGTTTTGTTATCCCCTTTCACTTTTCTTTATCACTATCAACATATGTTCAAGTATTAAGGTCAAACATGATGTCTCAAGAATGTCGAAACTCCATCTTCCATTTGGTTCTTTACTGACCAGTATTTTGGAGCATTATGAGGTTAAGATTTACACTATAAGGGGAGTAAATGCATAAAGTAAGATACTTCGTATGTGAACCGCATAGCAGTCAATGATGGAGGAAGCTGGGTGCTTAAAAAATTCACTGGCCTTAGAGGGAATGTGGAGGAGAACAATGTAATAGAAGGGGAAGAGTTGGATGAGGGGCATAAGAAAGTGAGGATGGTGCCCAAGAAAAGAAAGAGACGGATGGTGGGCATAGAATTGAGGATGCTGCATAGGTTACAGTTTCTACCATATTGTTTGCAAAATTGGTGAATAGTATTAATTCGACATTGTCATTCATTCGCTCTAAGTTACCCTCGCGTTCTCGAGTGCCAACAGAATTCTGCAACTTACAAATGAGTGATATCAGTTTTTTATTTTTATTTCGTAATTAGTTTTTGTTGGTAATTCAATTGTTTCCTTTAGTTTTCTCGTAGACTATGACCTGAGTATGGATGTATTGATGTCACTTTCATAGGTAGATGATATGGTTTAGTATACATGCATATAGACTCAATTTTAAAATATTTTAATTATTATAATAAAAAGAAAACATTTATCATATTTGGAACATAACTATAGAAAAAAACATTTAATACACATAAGCCCTTAACGAACATGTACAATATGCGACGGAATTCACCTTTATAGCTTAAGAAACTTCTTAATCTAGCGATTCATGACATTTCTCTTCACCTTGATGGATGGATGATCTAGAACTATGATGTCCTTAATTTCTTCTAAGAGAATTTAGCACCTTGAAATAATGCTAAGGAAGTGATTTCCCCTCCTCTCCTTCTTTATTCTACCGACAATACTTATCCACTCCTTATTGGATATGATTTATTTCTTACCTAACCTCTCATATTTTAATTTTTTGTATAGAGTACAAAATGAAATAGGGTATTTTTTTTTTCGTGTTTGGACTGAGTTTCAGCTGATGCATGTAAAGGAAAAAATATTGGATGAACCTGAAGGTGTGAGCACTTAAATATAACTAGTACTAAGATTTACTTTACTTCGAAGTTTTGGCAACAACAATTTTCATTTTAATACTTAGAAAACTTGAACATTATGGTGACCAACTCCCCAATTAAAAAGTCGCAGCCATAGCCACGTTTATGGCTAAAACTTGGTCCTCAAGTATTTATCAATTTCTTTCTCTTATTTTTTTTTTGAAAATATTTATTTGTTTGTTTAGTTTTACCCATATTTTCCTTATACTTTAACTCGTATTTTATTTACTAGGGCATAAAGTAGCCAAATAGTGGCCACATTGCCTTTGATACGTTGTCTCTAAGAAATTAAGTTGTGGCTCTAATGTTATATTTGTCAATCACTTTAGTTGTTAATCACTATAATCTATAATAAACGACCATATTGATGTAATTTCTCATAGGTGGTCTTTCCTAACTCATGTTTTACTCTACTAATTTGTTCTTGTTGTGTCGAGGGTAATGATTAATAAAACATAAAAATAATATAAAACCTTTTCATTTTCTTTTGGTTTTCAACTATCCTCTCGAATAATTTTCGAAAGTTTTATGAGTACTACATTCTTTCCTCCTTAAAAGAAGTTTCATCCTCGAAACTTACTCTCCCCATCTCTTTAAATATTTGTAGGTGTTCTTGTCTCATCTTGTTTATGATCTTGTGGGAGTACTTGTGATGTATTATCGTACCATGCATCAGGGAATTTTTCATAGTATCTAGTATATTAAGTTTGCCCTACATTGATTACAATTAAAACTGTGATAGTTAAAACCATTGATAAGACAACAAATTAACCCTCTGTGACTTTTAAGGATCATGTAATATGGCTTTTAACATTTTAGACTTTCAGAGTGTACGCTGGGTACACCAGAACATTTCAAGGAATAGTATTTCTCATGCACAAAAATTACTAACCAGTTTACCTACTCAAACTTATAGGTATACCTAAATAGACATATTTTCTCTTACTCTTTCCTAAAAGGTTGTGTGTTTCAAACTTGGCTCTCTTTTATTTTTCTTAATGAAATGGCTAATATTTGGTAAGCCATTTACAAATCAAAGATTCTTCTATGAATGTTTGAATTCACTTTAGAGATCCTAAGAATTTCTTGTTTTTTGATTTGGGTTCCTTTATTTTTGTCACAATACTTTTGGATAGATTGTATATAGGCGCGATACATACTTCACTCATTTGCTGTGTATTTGTTCTTTTCTTATGCCCATATGAGATCTTTTCCATAATCACTAATAGAGATAACATAAGTCTTATTCTGATATACCTATGAAACTCCTAAGGTTTTTTACTTTTTCGTTCGGCTTTAGCAGTCAATAACTACATGTTGACGTTTTAATCCCTAATTTCCTTCTGCATGAGAACAGACTTATTTATCACATCATTTAGTCATCATATGAACATGTAAATTTCTCTCTCTTTCTCTCTAAAAAAATTCTCTCTCGCTTCTCTTTAGAAAGCTAACCCTAAACTTGTCCGAAATTCATCATGGCGGCTCCTAGGCCGCCGGATGATGGCCGGCAAAAACAACTATCCTTTGCACAAATCCTAAATATTTCTAAGCCAAATCCGCGTAGTCATATTTAGCCAGCTGAAAAACCTAATTTGGTTACTCCCTCCAAAAATTCAAAACCTACAATGGTCAAAGGAGAACTAGCTTTTTTGCTGTCAAAGGAGGAAGATGAAAAACTTGTAGCACCTTTCAAATTTTGTTGGTCGGGAAATTTTTCAAAGGCCAAAACGCACTTTTGGTCCCTAAACTTTGGGGGGTCACAACTTCGAGTCACCATTAATTTTGACTGACAAAATTGGTCACCGTCTTTTCGTTTATTCACAAATTTTAGTCAATTTAACGGAATTTATGGTCATTTAACGGTCAACTCTTTACTCCGTTAAGTTTTTCAATTTTTTATTAATTTTTTTATGAATTGGGGCCCGTAATATATTTTCAAACAATAAAGTTAGTACCCTAATATCTTTCTATTCAATAATTTTAGTCACTTTAACGGAATCTTTAAAAACCTAATGGCCCAATTAATTTTTCCGTTAATTTTTTTTATTTCTTAATAGATTGTGGGTCCTACAGATCTTTGATCTGATTTTTTAATTTTAAAAAAGAAAACAAATTAAAGAAATAATGAAAGTATTTTCGGCAACTCTGAATATGTTTTGTTCATGCTCTGTTCATTCTTGAATTTTACGGTTTTTTTCTAGGGTTTTTTTACCAAGTCACAAAAACTAGGACAAAAAACTGCGAAATTCAAGAATGAACAAAGAATATGCAGATATAGATCAGTGTGACAAGGATATAATGTTTGAGACAAAATCAAAATTAAGAAAACAAAAAAAAAGAGACGATGAAAGTAGTGACTCAAACAAAGAGGGCTGGTAATCTAATTAGATTACCCGATGAATAAATTCCAAAAAAAATAAAACCCCAACAACGTAAATGATCAATAATGAGACTCCTTATGGGCTACTTTACCGGCGGGGATGTGATGGTGAAACGTCGGAGAGCAGAATATTGTGGTTTAGGAAGTTGGCCGGACATAGTTTCATCATTCCTTTGATTTGTTTTCTTTTCTTAAAAAAAAAAAAGATTCTGATCAAAGACCTGTGGGGCCCATTATTCATTAAGAAATTGATAAAAAAAATAAAGATTTAACGAAAAAATAAATTAGGCCCTGAAGTTTTTTGAAATCTCGTTAAAGTGACTAAAATTATTGACAAAAAGATATTAGGGGACTGATTTTGTTGTTTAAAAATACATTGCACGACCTAGTTCAGTAAAAAATTAATAAAAAAAATTAAAAAACGTAATGAAGTAAAGGATTGAGTGTTAGTGAACCATAAATTCTGTTAAATTGACTAAAATTGGTGAATAAATGAAAAGACGGTGACTAATTTCGTTAATAAAAAATTAATGGTGACTCAAAGTTGTGATCCCCTAAAGTTTAGGGACCAAAAGTGCGTTTTGTCCTATAAATTAATTAATCATAAAATTGAAAATGGCCATAGTCTTGCAACATTAATATTGGATTAGTTAAATTGACACCTACATTATAGGTTTACCTTGATTATTATATGCATCATATTACATGTAGTAAGCACAAATATGACTACATACCTATCAAGTAAGCAATCATAATATAATGAAATATTATTTTCAACAAGGCTATGGGAGATTAGAGAACTTCATACCATGCTTATAATGTTAGTCATTTTAGAGATCAATTGTTATCGATGCGATTATAAAATAGTAGGATGAGCCATATGAACCCTTTTTTTTTAAGCAAAAGGGGAAGATCAGAAGGAGATTCAGGTTCTAACTGACTCAAAAACACTCAAGGGTTCTACCCAAGAGATGGATTTTTAAGTCAATTATAGCCAGATGATATAATGCACCCAAGGGATGTACCCAAGGGATGGACATATATATCATCCAGTTCCTTAGTTTCCTTCCTACCTTATATATTATTAAAAATCATAGGTCAAAGCTGGCAGTGCATACAACTTACCAGGATACAAGAAAGGCATTATCTCACAATTACATGATAAACTATTACCGCACTCTCACATACGGCATAGATTGTTGATCTAGAATAATGAGACCCCTAGTGAAACTCGGAAGGTCTCCTAAGGATAAAAATTCCTCTGAAAGTTCATCTAAAGCACATCTAGCTAAACTATCTGCTACTGCATTCGTTTCTCTGTAAATGTGGTGTATAGAGTAACCCCGTCTCTCAAGAATTGCAAGAATCTCTTCCAACTCAAAGTAGAATCTCCACGGATAAGGACCTCCAGAGGCAAGAATGTTTGCCAGAAATTGGTTATCCATTTGAATTTCCACCTGGAATAGATCAAGATGCTCACACTTCCGAACTCCAAATGGTAGGCCATAAACCTCTACTTGAAGACTATCTCCGCTTCCCAAAAATCCAGCTTCCCCATAAAGAAAGATCCCCTTCTCTCCTCTGACCACAAAGTCGTAACCAGCAGCATGGGAGTTGGAAGATCCATCAGTGTTCAGCACATACTTACGCTGTTGTTGCCAAGAAACTTTGCGCACCTTCTTCTGTTTAAGACCGAAAGATGTATTTGGAAAGATCTGCTGAAGCGACTCCCTCTCTACAACATTTCGAGCCTTGAGCATATGAACTAGCATCATTCCATGAAGATGCTCTTTGACAGCTTTAATGATGCTTGAAAAAGTAGAGTCAACATTTTCAAAAAAGAACTTGTTTTGCGCCTTCCACAATTCCCATACTACAAAGGACGACAAAACCTTCTTTATGACCCCAATAGCCATTTTAAAATTTCCTGATAGCCACCATGAATTCAAGTATTCTCCAAGACCTTCACCATGCGCAACCTGACCAAAAAGATCAGCAAAAAAATTCCAGACCTGGCGCGTAAATGCACACTCAAGGAATTGATGCCTCATGGAGTTAGAGGAAGACTTACACTTCCTGCAAATTGAAGGTTGCAAATATATTCCCATTCTACATAAATTCTCTGTAAAAGGAACAAGTGAATTACCAAACTTCCACGTGAAGAAGGAGATGCGCAAGGGAATGAATTTGTGCCATATATTCCGCAGGCTAGGGTTCTCAACTTGCTTCCTCCGCAATGCCTCATACGCTGACTTGATTGTGAAAACTCCCAATGGGGTTGGTTTCCAAATCAGTTTATCTTCTCCCTCAGTGAAGGATAAATCCATTTCCTCCAAGGCATGAAAAGCCCTAGCCTCCAAACAACCCCGAAACGTCTGTAAGAAGAAATTCTTCATTGAGAAAAAATGCCGGATTGTAAGATTTGACATTGGAGGATCCGTATCCTGGATGTCCCATAAACTAATATTTCCTTTATGCACCAGCACCTTTGAATAAATTGATGCAAGAGGATCAATTTTGGTAAACGGGTTCCAAGAAGTTCTTCTCCTCGCGAAATGCGACAAGGATAGCACAAAATTCGCCCAAATGCCTTGCTTCTGTTTAACCTTCTACCATATTTTAAGGGAAAAGGCTTTAAAAGCTCCTGAAAATCACGCAATCCAACACCATTTTCCAGCACTGGGTAGGTAAGCCGATTCTAAGATCTCCAATGTTTTTTTCCATCACCTTCCACTCCTTCCCAAAGGAAACGTTGGCAGCGGTGAGCAATGGCATTCAAAGATGATTTTGGAGGCTCAATGGCCGCAAAAACATGTATTGGGATGGCTGACAACACATGTTTAATTAGCACAAGCCTCCCACCTTGGCTAAGGAATTTATTTTTCCAATTCGATAACTTCACTTCCAATGCATCAAGTATAAACTGAAACATTGCAGCCTTTTTCCTCCCTACAAATATCTGACTTCCAAGATAGACAAAAGGAAAAGATCCTTTTTGCATGCATAGGCACCGAGTAATTATTTCAACCCGAGAATATCTACAACCTCCATCCACATAAAAATTACTTTTCTCTCGATTCACCTTTTGTCCAGATGCCATTTCATAATCCTCAAAGAATTTGTTCAATTCCTCCAAAGATGTTTGCAAACCACGGGTAAACACAATGAGATCATCAGCAAAAAAAAGGTGAGAGACATAGGTGGAACCAGTTGGAGTACCAAATCAAGCAATCCTTCTTTGTTCCATCAAACACTTCAACCTGCGTGGCATCGCTTCTGAGAAAAGGATAAACAAAAAGGGGGAAAGAGGATCACCCTGCTTGATGCCTCTACTTGCCTTGAAGAAACATGTTAGATTGCCATTCACCAAAACTAAAAACCAACTATTTTTAGGTTATTTAAAACCAGAGAAACAAAATGAGAAGGAAAGCCGAACCTCAACAACACTGCAGTTAGAAAACTCCAAGAAACACGGTCAAAGGCTTTCATCATATCAACCTTTAGGATCACGTTGTTACCCACAACTTTGTGTTTAAGGAACTGACACAAGTATTGACTAAGCATGATATTATCATTGATGTCCCGGCCCGCCAAAAAAGCGGATTGTTCCTCAGAGATTAATTTAGGTAGCACCTTCTTCAACCTTTCCGTAAGAACCTTCGTAAAAATCTTATTGATAAAGTTACACAAACTTATCGGCCTAAAGTCCGAAAAGGTTGTGATTGAGGTCTTCTTAGGAATTAAAGTAACAAAGGGTACTCCCAATTGCTCTTGGAAGAGGAACTCCAATCATAAACTCCTTACAAGCATTTAGGAGATCCGATGCTATAATATTCCAGCAAGCCCTATAAAATGAGCCTCCAAAGCCATATGTTCCTGGCGCACTATTGGCATCAAGACTTTCCACCGCATTCTTAACTTTGTCCATGGTTATCTCACCCAAGAGTAAATGGATGAGCCATATGAACCTCTATTTTCTTTAAAAGCAAACATATATTTGGCTGATAAATTGATTTTTACGTTAAGAATGACAGAATTTTGTTTGAACTTATGGTGAGCTATGTGAATCCATCTGTCAATCGAAATTAGGCGATCCTTGAGCCAAAACTATTCAATTATATGAGCAAAACAAGAAATTTCTTTTTTTATTAAAGAGGTATATTTCAAAGAAAAAAGAATATCACCTTTTAAAAAACCGATACCAATACTCGTCACCTTGATTCCGTCACTGATCACCAAAACCTCAACAAAATCTCTCCTTTTGTTTCTTAAGAAAATTTTATTGATGGTCCAAAGCAAAAGATAAAAAGTATTACAAAAATAAACCAACAAGCTAATTAAACTGCTAAAGAAACAAAAGAAAAACAACAAAACATGAACAAAACTTTTGCCTCATCACAAATCTAGTCCTCATCAGAAAATGACCTCATACACCTACATATATCGAGTTTCCTCTACAATAAAGAAGGGCAAAGTTACAAGAGAAGCATGCAAAAAAAAAGCAATAAAGTTTAATAGAACAGTGGTGTCAAAGGATTCAAATCAATCTCCTGAACCAATCCACTTTAATTACCACCAAATGGATTGACATTCTCGGCAGCATCACTGCGACTATTAATGTTGTTAAGATCCATAGATCGTGAATTTATTTCCTTATGAATATCTTTCTTGAGACCTTCTAACATCTTAGCAAATCTCATAAGCTGCTTCATGTCAAGCTCTTCAATGGGCTTTCTCCACCACTGATCCTTTCTTGACTCCTCCTTTTCCGCCTTCTCCAACGCTTCTGCAAGTTTCTTTTCCTCTTCCAATTGCTTTTCGAGTTTTATTAACTCTTGTTTCAACTCATGAAGGTGTCCGTCAGTGTGAGCCGGAATGATACAATGTGTGGTATCATTCACAGTTGTTGAAACTGCTATCGGTAAGTCGTCTCTGCTGGTCCTTCTTGCCATGCTTGAGCCCTGGACTGGTTAAAGTTTTTGTTCACAAAGTAGAGAAGAAAATATTGTTTGACAAATATCTGTGAAATGGATGATTTTGATTCATTGCATATGAAAGAATTTATAGAAAACTCAGTGAGTGATTGCGTTTTCTAGGGCCTGATCATTTTGGGTAGAAAATCTAGTAGATAATACTAGTTACGATATATCTTAATAATATGTACCTGCCATAATTACAATCATATTTTGGTAGTAAGATTATGTATTCACTATATTTTCCTCTCTCTCTCTCTCTATCTATCTCTCTCTGTCTCTATGTTTGAATATTTTTTATTATTATTTTTTAATTTATACTTTTACGTCAAAATTATAAACTATATATACTTAAATGGGAAAATCTAGAGTCCGGTTGGCCCTTTTTTTGGAACCGTTCCGTTTTGTCTTCAACCAATCAAAATTGAGGGTATAAGATGTAACAATGTGGTGAATAACATTCTATAATATCATAAACTAATTGAGAAATGATCCCTTTTGCCCAAAACATCAAGTTTCTGGTTAATTTGACCCAAAATATTTTTGGGATACCAAATTCATCATCAAAATTTCAATTTTTTGCCAATTTAATCCAAATTGATGAGAATTTTGTTAGATTTAATATTTCCATTGACATTCTGTTACTTTGTACAATTTTTTATTGGTAATAAACTTTGTTGACCCTAAATTTTAATATTTTATCCCTACTGTTTTGTTATTCAGTAACATACGCTTATCTTACTATTTAATTATTATAACGTCCCTACAACATAATTTATCTCCTAATCTAATTCATTGCTCCCACCCTAAGCCTCTTCCTTTTCTTCCGCTTTTACTTGTTTTTCGCTGCCGCACCACTAGCATCCCTTTCTTCTTCTCTCCTAAAAATTACCATCACCACTTCCTAAATCTGTGAGGATTTCAAACCATCACAACAAACATAAAAATTTGCCTCCACCAACAGTACACAATCCTCCCTCCATCACTACCCGCCTTTCCGTCGCCGCCACTTTTCTTCAATTCCACAAAAATTAAAACATATTTTACTTATTTTTCCTTTTTTTCTCCTCTTCATTCTAAAAAATTGTACAAGTAATGGAAAAGGAAAAAAATAGCGGTTACACCATTTTGACATCATCGTCAATTTACCCCATTGATTTTCGATTAGGCAATTTTGTCCTTTCTGGATGAAATTTTTGTCAATTTCATGCAATTGGTCAAATTTCTGTTAAACTTAACGGATTTCCGTTACTTTAAAAAAAAAAATACCCCAATAGTTTCAAAATATTATAAAGACAACTCACAAAATAATTTTTGAGTTATCCAGAACCTGAACGTCGTTTTCATTCTTTTTCTTGCTTAAAGAAAATGTAAAAATAACAAAATATCCCCTTTTCACTTGTATTCATTTTAATCTATTTCATTTTATTTCTATTTGCTACTTTTCATAACCATCAAAATATACTATATGATCTTTAAAAAATATTTATTTATTTTCAACAATATTTTTCATGTGCAACACACTTGAGTTGGGTTTAGAGGTAATTTTGTCTTTTTATATTTTAAAAATTTTTAATTTTTTTATTTTATTTTTTTAACAATTTTCTTCTTGTACTCTCTGACTTTTATTTTATTTACCTTTTGTTTTTCAATTTCGAGGTTTAAAAAAATATTAAAAATATACTGTTAAAAAATATACTTATTTATCTTTTTCATGAAATTAAATGATTCCTTACATAGTTTAGCAATCGGAAAATTAACAATAACAATTACTAAAAAAGAATAAAAATTTTGTTAACCAAATTTAAAACAATTCATCGTTGTGGACTAAATAAATTAGCACTTTTTTCTATTTCAAACGATTATCTAATTTTTATATTATTTTACTATCACAAACAAAATAATCATTTTAGGCGAGATCGAGTAAAATTTATATTTCGTAACTTATCTATGAATTACAAGAAGTCAAGGAGGAAAGACTTGTCTTAGTAGTTTTTTTTTTTAGATTTTTTTTTTGTTTAGAATGCTAACCTATTAATTTTCGTATTTATTTCAACTCGATTTTTTCTTCCTCATTTTCTTTATTTTTTAAACTTTTTTTATAATCTATGAAAAAAAGGTAAATTAATTAATGAAATTTAGTAGTTATACTAGTAGCAACAGATACAAGTCAGGAAGTATAAGAAAAAGAATAGTAAATAACAAAAAATAAAAAAATTAATTAAAAATTTTAATAATATGACAAAATTACTTCTGAACCAAACTCACATGTTTGAGCATGAAAAATAGAGTTTGAAAATAAACTTATAATTTTAAAGATCTTATAATATATTTTGATGGTTATAAAAAGCAGTAAAGAGAAATAAAATGAAATAAAAATAAATAAATAAATAATGAAAGAGATTATTTTGTTGATCTTATATATTTTGGGGTTATTTTTATAATTTTTGATACTATTGAGAAATTTTTTTGTTAGATATTAACTGAAATCCCTTAAGTTTAACGGAAATTGGGCCAATTGGATGAAATTGGCAAAAATTTCAAACGTAAAGGACAAAATTGGCTAACAAAAAATCAATAGGGTAAAGTTAACGATGCAGTTAAAACTTTGGGTACAACCGTCATTTTATCCGTAACGGAATGTCAGCGGAGGTGTTAAATCTAATGGAATTTTTGTCAATTGGATGAAATTGGCAAGAAATTGAAACTTAGATGATGGATTTGGTTTCGCAAAAATCTTGTTGGGTGAAATTGACTAGACACTTAAAGCTTTGGGTAAAATTAACCAATTTCTCTAATTTTTTTCAGTTTAATCAGGTGTGTTTAGGTATATTTACCTATGATGCACCCTCATTATAATCCTACGGTTGTTAATTAGCCTAATTAATCATACGGTTATTATCTTAAAACGGAACCATCCCGTAACAGGACTCTAGCCGCTCCCTACTTAAATTAGTAAAATTTGAAGTTAAATGGTAAAAAATGAACAATAAATATGTATGTAACATTGGTTTTAGAAAACTTTTAAGCATAGTTCTTGTAAGAAATAGACCTTTATTGTGTAATATACCGACACTGGTGAATAAAGTGCTTCTAAACTGGGTTCGGTACGTTCATATTAAATTCGCCTAATAATGAAAACATTGTAGGTGAATTAAATTACGGTTTACTCAATTTTAATATATTGATTTAAAATAATTAAAATTATTTGAAAAATACTTTTGATATTTTTAATTGAATTAAAAGTATATTTGTTTATTTACGTGGAATGATACTTTTGCATAATATAGTGACCAATCCCCACTCACCAATTTTTTTTAACAAGAAAAAGGGATGTAAAATGATGTTCAGGTCCCAACTAACTCAAAGAATACTCAAGGAATATACCCAAGAGATATTCCTTAAGTCAGCCAGTGCTAGATGATACAACACACCAAAGGGGTAATACCCAAGGAATGTACATTATACCATTTAGTTGCTTAGAGTCGTTCCTCCCATAAGTATTATTGATTTTCACTAAAGAACTGGGAGTGCTTAAAACTTATCAGTATACAGACTATGAATGAAGTATATCAAAACATTTCTATTACAAATCATGTTTATCAATTAATTACCAATGCCCACTCACCATATATGAACAATTAATTAAATGTTCTTATCATATTGTAGTTGTCCGTGTGTTGCTTTTTTTTTAAAATCCATGGCGGTACCTGGCGGAAGGACCCCGATCTTATTAATATATGTAAAAATTTATACAAGGCAGTGCTTAAGACTTACCTAAACGGAAAAGGAGACTGCATTACAAAAGTTCTCTAAAAAACTTCCAGACGGCTCCTATTCAATAACAACTATGAATTGTCTTACAAAGATAATGCAATATCCCCGACAATTCCTTGTATTTTATGTTATCAGTCCTAGGAGGATGTCTTACAAAGATTACACATGAATCCCATGACATTTCCACCTACTCTAGAGAGTTTATATAGATTCTTATCTAATTCTAATATAAGGGAAAGAACACTTATCGAGATACCATTTGCCCAACAAAGAGGCTGGCAGTTGTTCTCGATTGACATATTGAAGACTTGACCCATGTGATGCCACCTTTGCAAGTTCATCCGCCATGCTATTGACCTCTATAAAAACATGCAAAATTTTTGAGTTGGAGAGAAGGATCATAAATTGAATCTCCTTGAGCTCATGATGATGTTTCCATGGAAAGCCCTTGTCCTGTTGGTGTAAATGAACGATCACTTGATTGTCTGATTGGATGACCACTCGAGATATTCCTTTTGCCATGCAGTATCGAAGACCATTGAGGATTGCTGCTATTTCAGCTTCAAAACTGGTTGCAATTCCCATGTAACTACATTCTGCTCTGATGAAATCCCCATTGCTTCCCCTAAGTATGTAGCCCCATCCCGCAGCACCTGGTTGACCTAAAGCCAAGCCGTCTGAATTGAGAGTTGTTTCTCCTAGTCTTGATGGTTGCCATCTAAGAGATATCCTAGTTTTTTGCTTGAAAGTCTCCACCTTACAATGAAAGGCCAGTTCGATTGCTCTTTTCTCCTCCAAATCTTTAGCCTTGAGCTTATGTACACTCAACATGTTGAAAATGTGAGACTGAATATCTTTCAGAATGAATTTAAATGAAAAACTGATGCCTTCTTTTAGTATTTTATTTCTGATTTTCCATATCTCCCATATAATGAAGGCAGGTATGACCATGAAAAGCGTCTTTTTAGCTGAGGAGAAATTTCATAAGGATTGCCAAGCTTGTACTGTATTTCTCCATCCTGCATTATTCTCAAAAGTAATGCCTAAGTTGGCCGAAAAATGTTTCCAAACAGGATTTATTTTGGCACAATGAAAGAAAACATGTTCTATATTCTCTTCTTCTTGCCCACAAAATGGACAATGTGAAGGTCTGAAATTAATACCAATTTTTTGTAAAATCTCAGAAAAAGGCAACATTCATT